CAGTCATTTTTGAAAAGTAGCTTTCACCTTAACGCGCGCCCCGCCCACTGTGGGCGGGGCTTCGCTGAGCTTACGCATGCCCAGCACGCATGAGGCCTTGCCCACTCTTTTCACTTTTTGTCTGACCCAGACGCCTTCCTTTAATCGAGTTATGAATCTCTGTGGAAAGTACCGCCCACTGCGAGAACGCTCCGCCCACCGCCGGTAAGTTTCCTTTATTTTGTTTGTTGACCCATCCCTCACCTTTGCACATTTTTTCCCGGCGTCTGGACTGTTATGAGAGCGAGTTAGAAGAATTTGCCCATAGCCCCGCCCAGTTCCGGCGCACGCCCCGCCCCTTGGGGGCGGAGCTCTGCTGAGCTCACATGTGCTCTGCTGGTCTTGCCCTATGCTCAACCCATTCCAAACTTGACCCGACCTCTCCAGGTGATCCTTCAGGTAGTATCGAATTTCGTGACAGACAGACAGACAGACGCGAGCGCTTTATATATAGTAAGGATATTATAATACATTATATAGTATATATAATGTATATTATAGGTGATATATTTATGTTTATATGTTTATTAAGGCACGTAAGGCGGACGTAAGGGGACAAAACCAAACCATTTCAGCAGAAAAGAATACAATGCACGCCACTTATTGTTAGTTAGAACACCATTACCAAACGGAGACCTCACACGAACGACTACAAGGCCACATGCTTAACAGTTTGGCAGCTATCTGCTTCTAAACTGCTCAGCGTACAGGGTAAAATACTGCTCTTCGTCAACTTTTTATAAGTGCTGGCGGCAACGTTACGTGGCTACTTGAACCTTCTCTGCGACCCTGACAGCAAGAGGCTATTGCGCAGAGAAAAACACCACGGGTGAAGTCCACGGGGGTGGTGGTGGGGGTCCCATTGGATAGACAAGCACAGCACTCAAAGGCTACATCAAACGGGAGTGCGACAGACAAGGACAGAAAAATGACGCATCCGGCAAATTCAAAGGAACCGAGTTGAAGTAGTCCGTAGACCCGAAGGCTCGGAGATGCGCGCGGCAAATCGCGCGGCGGAACTGTGGCGTTCTGGGCGACTCTGGCGTTTATCACCAGGACGTAAAGCATGTATGCCCATAAAACATCGACGAGTCCCAGAGTTGAAGCTGCTCTTAAGTAAGCGCATGGATTTAATCGATATAAGGAAATCATGTTAATAGTGCCCCCCCCCCCGCGCAATTTGCCGCGTGTCTGGGGATACACCCATGTTGTGTACACGGGGGGCGGAACATTCACCCAGAACTGGATGGACTCGGCAAACCGCGCGGCAAAACTCGTGTTCAAAACGACTCTGGCGCCTATCATTGGGGCACAAACTTGAAGTGTGATAGATAAGAAGCATCAGCTGTCCATCCAGTTCTGGGTGAATGTACCCATGCTCTGTGTATACCAATTTGACCATATTCCTACAGAAGTCTCTGACCACTCTCTTCTCGCGTTCTAGGACGTTTTTGAACTGAATTACGAATTTTCGATCTTGGCCCCACCCAACCCAGTGCGAGCCCCGCCCACTTCCCTGATTTGATCATATTTCTTCTACAGCCTCTAACAACGTAGTTTCCAAGTTATAGGGCGTTTTTGAACAGAGTTATGAATTTTTTGCAAAAGAACCTAACATTTGAGTGCAAACCCCGAACATCGTGGGCGGGGCTTCAAAATGTCTACGCGTGCCAGCGCGCATGAGGCTTTACTCACTTCTTTTATTATTTTTTTCTAACCTCCACGCTTTTGTTAAATCGAGTTACGAACTTATGCGGTATATCGCTCGCTGCGAGAATGCTCCGCCCACCGGCCGATAAGTTTCCTTCGGTTCACCTGCTGAACCATATATCACCGTTGCTCATTTTTTCTGGCGTCTGGGTTTTCATGGAGCCTAGTTAAGAGGTTTTGCCCAAGACAGCGCCCACTCCTGTCCATGTCCCCCCTCCGCCCCTCTAAGCGCAGCTCCGCTGAGCCCAAATTTGTTCTGTTGGTCTTGCTCTCTATGCAGCCTATCCCAAACGTGACCCGATCACTATTATTATGCCAAGTATGATGATGATAATGCATTGGCTAGAGCTTCCTATTAGTAAATATGACGCCTTTCTAATTAATCCAATGTTCAGTGCGTGATTTTTCTCGAAATGCAATGGCCGGAACAGCAGACCAGTCCAAAAATTTATAGGATTCCTAGCAACTTTTGTGCCTTGCTTCTTAAAATAACCATGACCAAAAGTGATTACTAAAGAGCAGTCATTAACCCTTTGAGCACAACGTTTACTTCAAATCCCCTGTTCCGGCTCTAACTCTGGTGATTCCACACGAAAACAAATTTATCGCTGAGGATAGACCAAGGCGGACCTGCGAAGGTAATGTGTACATTCGGAGATCGGAGAACATAATAACCGTAAATAGATTTTTTATCGCAAACTACTCATAAGAAATGACTCACCAATCCTAGGTCCGATAAAGGCTTTTCCGGAGATCCCGTTTTGCCTTCCACCTTCGAAAGTTCATAGCTGAAAAAGTTCTTACTGAAACCCCGATCCACTGTTCTTCCCGATAACAATTGAGGGTAGTCACTGAAAACCACTTAACCAATTCAGATGTCAACCTAAGTGCAGCATGGCATCCTTCACCGAAAATAGGAACGGCGCATGTTTTGAATTCGGACTCAGGCAGCCTGTTATCAGTAGTATCCTACTTACTACAGAGCGGTTCGTCTGTCTGTCTGTCTGTCCGTCTGTCTGTCTGTCTGTCTGTTTGTCTGTCTGTCTTTCTGTATGTCTGTCTGTACGTCTGTCACGAAATTCCTTAGCTCCTTTAGTTTTGCTTGAAGAGACCGGGTCAAGCGTGGGATGGAAGGGCCATGTCTCGAGAAGAATAAAGCACACATCAGCTTAGCGGAGCCCCGCCCACAGTGGGCGTGGCGTGCATCGAAATGAGCTGTACTAAGGACCATGGTTTCAAATTCAGTCACAAGACATCTTTAAAAGTGGGGTTTAAATTTGGCTAGAGATGTGCGTTGGTAAGTTAGATCGAACTGGGGAGAGCCACCCCTATGGGTGGGGCGTTCTCCACAAATGCAATGCTTTAAGAAAACATTTTGGGAAATCATAACTCCTGTCCTCGTGAACCTAGAAAGTTCAAACTTGGTAGGAATATAGGCGACGGCGGGGTTTGAGCGGGAACTCGTAAATCCGTAAAGTGGGGAAACCCACCCGCGATGGGCGGGGAGTTCTCCAAAAATGCAACGCCTCGTGAAACACTTATAACTAGGTTTGAAGAAAGCCAACAGAGCAGGAAAAAGTTGACGTAGGAGAAGCATCGTCGAAGATGTCTCCAGCATAAATGACGTCAGCGAAGGCTCGCCTACAATTAGCGGAGCGTGCCTCGACGCTCACATCCCTTCTTACATTTATATACGAAAATTCATAACCCCTGTCCCCATGGACCTAGAAAGTTCAAACTTGGTAGGGGTACAGGCGACAGGATGAAAACTCTTATGGTGGGTAGCAGACCAGACTCCGCCCACGGGAGCGGGGTTTGAGCGAAAACTCATAATTCCGATAATGAATGAATGAATGAATGAAAATCAGCTCATGTGGCTTCTTCTTTCGAGGCTAGAACCCCTATATATATATATATATATATATATATATATATATAATAGTCATTCGAAGCATCTTTTCTTGGGAGAAGGTTGATCAGAGAACATGCAGTCTGGATCTCTCATTCTTTGTTTCATGATAGGCTTTCCTCATGAGATTAAAACGAGAGTAATGATTGAAGTTCAAGTACAACAAATCTTTCCCTCACCTAAATTCTATCAATAGTCTCCCATATCCCATTTTCTGATAAGGTGGCAGAACTAAAATACATGCTACATTATATTCTTCGGCGGATTCCTTCTCCTAAAAAAAGTAATTTCTACTGCTAAATAATGTGGTTTGAGATACAGTACCTATAACTTTGAAAAACAAACAGGAAACGGAAACTCACCTTAGAAAAGAATCCGACAATATGAAACCCTCGATCATCTAAAAACGCTAGGACGTAGAACAGGAATGGATCCGTGTCGTAATATAGGGTTTTGTGATCGAGGAATAATTTCGCAAGAAGGCATAAGTTCTGGGCGTATGTCTGAAAACTGCAAGTCAATCAACAGCACAAATGATAACCTTGGAGTAATACGGAATATTCATTTTTTTGGTTGAAATGATTAAGCAGGAAGGGCTATCCCACTATATATAATCCGCCAACTGGGTGTATGAGTGTATGTATGTATGTATGTGTGTATGTATATGTATGTATATGTAAGTATATGTATGTATATGTATGTATATGTAAGTATATGTATGTATATGTATGTATATGTATATGTATATGTATGTATATATAAGTATATGTATGTATATGTAAGTATATGTATGTATATGTATGTATATGTATATGTATATGT